CGAACAACAAAAAGTACAGAAGGTTGAGAGTCCTGCTTTTCTTTACAAAGGGGCCATGTGAGAAGGAAAATACAGTTTAAGATAGTATAATGCAGTACAGACTGGAAACTCCCAGTAAAATGTATTACCAGATCACTTAGGTAAAGTTTGCAGTTGGTGGTTATTTACAAATAATAGGTACAATGTGTGTTTATTGCAATGTAGGTATATTTATCTAATAGAAAAAAAAGTTCTTAAACAAATATTGTACCAATTATTTGTTTAGAACTGCCACATAGCACAAACACAAGGTACAGGGATTTGGAACTAATTAGATGCATTGAATAAAGTAATAGCAATGATCATTTTTATAGTAATATTTTTGAACCATCCTCAAAATCTAGATATTATGCTACATATACTACAAAACATCTTACAATGATCTCCTGAGAATCTCAACTGTAATTGTTAATACCCCTAAAACAGTAGTAACAAAGAGTTTAGGGCACAGTAATAAGTAACACAAAGTTCAGAGTTCACAGGTCAGGAGCATGTAGAGTGCAGAGGTCAGTATTAATGCACGCACAGGGGTCAGGAGTAGGTAACAGAGTGCAGGGGACAGGAGTAAGTAATGCACAGTGCAGGGGTCAGGACTAGGTAATGCAGAGGTCAGGGGTCAGGACTGAGCAACCCAGAGTGCCCCTTGCCTCCCCTGTACAGCACCCAGGTTCCCATGCCTCCTGCCTCTCCTGTACAGTACACAGGCTCTAATGCCTCCTACATACCATTGGTCACAAGCACAACAATCCCACCCATCTCCCACACCAAAATCACCACTGCACACTACTTCCAGTGGCACTCCCTGTCCTGCCCAGCCCAGAACTTCCCTTAGGGAAGGACAACAGGATGCAGGGGAGAGTGAAGTCATGTAATCACAGTCTGAGAGGCAGCACGGCAATCAGTGACTATGTTCCCATCACGTGCCCGAGATTGACAGTAGATCGTGGTCAGGTGAGTCGCTGATCCCTGCCATAAAAAATTTAATTGAAACACAAGTGTGTTAAAATTAAATTTTAACACAATTGTGAGAAGATCAGGTGTTAGCCTTACAGATCTGAGACACACAGGCCAGATGACTCACTGCCCTAGTATATATCACAAATCATAGGCCTGGACAAAAACCTAACTAATCCACTTAGAAATAGTGGATCTGGAAGCCAGAGAACCTCTTTTAGGACCATCTGGAAACTAAAAAAGCAGTGACAGAAATGTAAACCCTGCCCTTACCACAGGCAATGGAGTCTCCTTGGGGTAAACCGCTGCCAGACACAAGAAACATTTTGCAATATCCTCATTGAGCTGAAAAGCAGAGACCACTTTGTGCAAAAAATAAGGTACTTGGTCAAAAAACAACCTTGTCTCATGTAGCCTCAAACGTGGCTCCTCACAGGACACTGCTCATAACTTGGAAAACCTTCTAGCGAAAGTGATGGGCATAAGAAAGGATACAAGATAACATCACAGAAATGTCCCAAACATGTTCAAATGGAGTTTTTGTAACACCAACAATACTAGATTTTAAGTAGTTGGTGTGGAAGCTGAACAGGGGAATCAACATGTGCTACCCATTGTATGAAGGTACGAATAAGTGAATTATTAGCAGTGGAAACTGGGAGGGCAGACAACTGACCCTTGATGGTACTAAGGGCTAAGTGCTGTTCTACCATAAACTAAAGTGAAGAAAGAACACAGCCCACCAAGAAGGCACATGGGGAAACCACCACAGACTCACACCAGTGAAAGTATGTTTTCCCTGTTTGATGTAAATCTTGTTGGAAGTAGATTGATGAATTTTAAGGATAGAAGGACTAATGGAATCTGAAATGCCCCTGTCTCTCAGAACCTGGGCTTCAACAGCTAGACGTCAAAGCAAGTGAACAACAAGCAGGGTAGAAGATCCATTATTGAGATAAGAGATCAAGCCAATTTGGTAGAGGCATCAGCTGTTTGAGGCCAGTCTGAAGCTATGAGAATCACTGGAATGCCCTTGGCTTTCAATTCTTCAAAGTAGATGAGGTAAAAGTTTCAGTAGAGAAAATGCATAAGGAGTGCCAGCCATCGGCTCAATTGATGACTACAGCCTGAGCTAAACAATAAAGAGGAGGGTTTCCCATTCCCCAAAAGCAATGACCAGGTATAAAACATAAAATAGTGACAAGGCAAGTCCAGCAAAAAGAGAGGTCTTAATTCCCCATGATAGTGCCCAGTAAGCTGCAGAACGTCTGTAACAAGCACCACACACATAGCCCTTAGGTATAAAAGCAGAAAAAAAACCCTCAACACACTAAGTCACCCACTACCCAATCACAACAGCGAGTCTTCAGAGATGGGAAGAGCGAACTGCCACAGCTCTGACCCAATTTCTCAGCAATGACTCTCCATATATACTGGTCTGACCTGAAAAGTGGAGTTCTGTGCTACCTGGATCACAGATGAGTTATTACTGCCAACTGCAGGACTGTTGCATGGAGAACACTAGTATGCCCAATAAACTGAGAAAACCTGTGCTCGTTGGCTAACTGGAGAGGCTTCCAGGATTTTCATTATCTGGCTTGAATCCAACAGTAGTTGGTAATGGAAGGAGGAGAGGTTTGTTTCCCATACAAAGCAATGCACGCTTTAGCTGCAGCAAAAGAGATTTTTTTATAAAGCTTTGTAGATAGTGGGGAGAGATGGAGGATAACAGCAGCTGGGTCATCCCCCGGGTCATCAGTAAGCTGGAAAATAAGAGATTTAACTGCAACCCAGAAGACAGAAAGTCCTGGGCAGGACAACAAAAGGGAAAGGGAACTATAATGTTGGAATTCAGACAGATGGTTCGGAAGAGAGGAAACTGGTTGGATCACAAAGACAAGTAAACCGTTTGCGAAAGCTGTCATCATATGGTCAGCATTAAGTAATGTTGATCCTCTAATATCAGGGCACATCCCCGGTGATCCCGCACATCTCCGGTGACCTCGCACATTCCCCGGTGTCTCCGCACATTCCCCCATGACCCCGCACATCCCCGGTGACCCCGCACCTTCCCCGGTGACCCTGCACATCCTCGATGACCCCACACTTCTCTGGTGACACC